GTCAAGTGATAAATAACATTCACATGCACATATGTGTGGGCGTGCATGTAATATGTATATAATCATTAGTTAACTTTCTAGTGCTATTTAATCTTTACCATGGAAGGCCAGGTGTAGTGGTGCACATCTGTAAATCCAGCTCTCAGGAGGCTGAGATGGGGATCACTGTGAATTCAAGATCAGCCTGAACTGCATAGTAAAGCCTTATCTCAAAAGGAAAAAGAAAAAATATTTATTGTGGAAATGCTAATCTGAGCAGCAATCATAATGTTGTGTGGTAAAATAAGGAAAGCAAGATTATTCTTGACATCCTAACACGACCTATGCATTGTCATTATAACAAACAGTAAATAAAACTTCATCCTACTTACGGTGCTAGTTCAGTCAATAAGGGCTCTTTTCTGTATAGCACCTCATGTTATAATGCTAAGGAAGCACCATCTTTTCAGCTTATATACTGTAGTCTATTTCCCCATAAAACTGTATTACTATTTTATTATCAAATAGAATTTCCAAGTTTAATGATTAATTTAATTCCAATTAATTTTATTTTGTTTGGGGTTTGTGGGGATTTTGTTTTGCTCTGTTTTCTGAAACTGGGTCCTACTATGCATTTGAGGCCAGCCTTAAACTCACTACGTAGCGGAGGCTGGCCTCCAACTCCCAGTCAGTCACCTATGTCAGTCTCCCAAACTCTGGGATTAGAGGCTTGTACTGCCACACTTGGCTCCAATTCTATACTGCTAACCAAATCTGTTAATCTGCTGTGTCTCTGTGTTAGTCAATACATTGTGTCAACTTGGCTGAATCAGCTCCCGCAGTTCTCAGCGTGGGGACCTAGCCCTACACGTGGGAAGGGCCCAGGAATTGAGGAAGGCTTCTTGCTCCCCTGCCCAGCTTCCTGCCACCCTGCCCCAGTTTGTGTGGAGAAGTCCCAGTCTTCCGAGGAGCTTGAGCTTCGCAGCCACAGCGCTTTGGAGGCTGGTCTTCGCAGTCAGTGTAGAAGGAAGAGAGGCTTGATGGATGCCGCAGCTGCTGCTCTTCTCTGCTCTTCATTTTCTGCCGCATGAACTGCTGCTGTTTGCCTTGGAGCCAGCAGAAATGGACTGAACCCTCCAGTAACTGTGAGCTAAATAAACCTTTCCTTCCTTCATTTTGAGTGTCAGGCATTTGTCCCAGCAATGAGTAAAAAGTAACTAAGACAGTCTCCATTCAAATAAGTTTTATAATACTATTTTTCTCACTAGAATATCATGAAAATTAACAAAAATTTAAGAACATAAAAATGATAATCATATATGGGAAAAATTTTAAAGTGTGGATTAAATTTCTAGCTTTTCAAATGACCCAACATTACAATCTTTGAAAAATAAAAAGTATGCCTATTTGTATAGGGTCACTCAAATAGTTACCTAAGTGACAAGCTGATGAAGAAATCATTTATTTGTGGTTCTATAAAACTAAGACTACAAACTAGGCATGTATTGTATCTAAATTTTTCTAGTAATTACCCATCCCATGGATTAGATCCAAGACCTCTGCCTCACATGCCTTAATCAGATTATCCCATAAAACATAAGACAGCACTACAATTACAACACATTAGAAATGTTTCAGCAAGCAAAGGAATAAAGAAAATCCCTACATGCCAAAAAAGCAAATGGGAAGCTAAAAACTAAAGTAGTAATCATCAACTGACAATGGTTTGGGTTTCCTGAGCTTCATGAACAGAGAACAAAGCTTTGGAGCCAGCACGTAGGTCTAGGACAATAGTGATGTACAGGAAATCCCTTTTTGGTGCCTGCTTCTCTACTCTTCAAATACTGCTTCCTTTTCTTTTTTTTCTATAAGACTTTCCCAGACCACACTATTCCACAACTATTTATTCTCTTAGGTTCCTAATTTCTGGTGTTGGTGTTGCTTTTACTCAACTGTCAATTGCTTTATATTAAAATGAATAATTATATATTAAATACTCTTCAGCAACATTAAAGTTGATAACTCATTTACCTGTAAACCCACAAGTTATTGCAGGTAAAAGATTAGGGTATGATCAGAGCCTTCATCTTCAAGAACAGTCCCAAGTCTTACCCAGGATATTGGTAACTAAAGATGGAGGTGTCATCATTTGGGGTTTTGCAAAGGAATAATACAATATAGGACACACACTTTGTAAAATTATTTTATAATGAACCATCCAAGGAATCACATAAAAAGAGTTCAGGAAATCTGTCCACATACTAAGGACCAAAGAATCCAGGTGAATGAGTGCTTAGATCCAACTATAATGTCCTGCATGAGTTCAGATGAAGACCTAGAGCCCATAACAATGCTTCCCATAAGTCCAGTTGGAGGCCTACAGCCTATGACAGTATCTCAGGCCTATTTCACAGATCTGTGCTAGGAAGGCCCAAAGATCAGTAGTGGCAGCTACAAAGGCTGTGCCAGTGGGTTGAAGGATCTGTGCTAGTAGGTTGAGGGACTTAAACTGGAGCTAAGAAGCAATACTCACAGCAAAAACCAGAGGTCCCCCAAAAAGTCCCACAGCCATCCTCAGCAACAAGAGGTCCCAAGCTCTTCTGATGCTTAGAAAAGCTGAGTTTCTACCAGGAAAGCCAACAAGACAAGCTTCTCCAGGAGACTGAGTAGCCTACCACATTCCCCTCCGGAGTCAGGAAGCGATGCTCAAGATGAGAACGAGAGCTCCCACAAAGTGAACTGCAGCCGTACTCAGCAAGGAGGTCCCAAGCTCCTCCTCTGACAAGAACAACCAAGTTCACCAGCAAAGCCAGCATGTTGGGCACAAGGTCTCCCAACAGAACAGCCCAAGAGAACCAGCAGCTTCCAAGAGCTTCTCCAAACAGCTCCCCTAACAGCCTCTCAATAGCTTCTTCAGTTCTGTCTTTTCTGCTGCTGGCAACCTTCTTGATATGGGCCTCTCACACCCAGTACCACATTAGTTCAGTTCAGCTGGGTGTAAGAAGTGGACTACTAATTGGCAATACACTAAGAGAGGGCATGAGATGAAGCAGAAGAGACTGAAGGGACCAAAGTATTAACGCAGAGGGAGAAGATATGTGTTCTCCACCAGGCCTGATCTTCCGGACTCCTCACCTCTAAAGCTTTCTCTTTATTGAATGGCAGCTATACGATTTACCCAACTGTACTGTTTCCTTTACAATACCCAATTTATATCAGGTGCCATCTTATCCCCTAAATCTCTTTGATATTTAGCCCTCTTTCCATATCCATTGCCATTGCCCCATTCTATCAGTAAATCCTAATGACTTTGCCTTCAGAACATAACCACTTCTCACCACTTCACAGCTCTATCATCCCCCTCTAGGATTGTGGCAAAAGTCTTCTAAATGGCCTGCTAAGGCCAACTTTAAAGACTCATCCCCAAAGTCTATTCTCAGCACTGCAGCCAGAAAGACCTTTTTTTTGAATACCAGAAATCGCACTTGGGACCCTGTGCTTGCCAGGCAGGTGCTTATGCCACTAAATAATATCCTGGGGAAGAAAGAGCCTTTTAAAACATAACATTCATTCAACATTCAATGACTCTTTCCTGAGATCTACCTACAAACCTGGCACTATTGTAGCTTCTCAAGAATATAGGCAAGGGGCTGGGGAGATGGCTCAGTAGAATAAGTGCTTCCTTGGTAAGCACAAGGGCCTGAGTTCAATCTCTGGTTCTGCCAAAAAAAAAAAAAAAAAAGAGAAAGAAAGAAAAGAATACAGGCAAGGTGGGCTGGTGAGATGGCTCAGTGGTCTAAAGCACCTACTTAGAACAAGCTTAGCAAAGCACAGGGACAGTGGTTCAATTCCCCAGCACCACATGCCAGTCAGCCCCGCCCCCTGGTGGGCTGAGCTGGCCACACACACAAATAAATAAATAAAATTTAAAAAGAATACAGGCAAGGGCCAGCCAGATAGCTCAGCGTACTAAATCACCTGCTTAGGCAGAGCTCAGAGGCTGGGATTCAGCCCCCAGCATGCTGGCCCCACCTCCAGGGCACACTGAGATGGCAACTAAGACTGGGAGTGGTGGTATATACCTGTAATCCCAGCGCTTGGGAGGCTGAAAACAGGAGGATCATAATGAGTCTGATCTGTATAGTGAGACACTGTAGACTCTGTACTAAATAGATTAAGAAAAAAAAAGAATACAGGCAAGTAAAGAGAGAAAAGTCACTGTTCATATGAAGCCTTTGCATACCAGAAACAGAGATGATAAAACAAAAATATGAGATGTGGGTGGAATATAGAGTTTCTAAATGCAATGAGAAAAATACAGAGCAGGGAAAGAGGCTAGTGTATCAGGGACAAGGGGTTATGTTGCATACATTCAAATAAAGAGCCAAGCCTCAGCTTCCCTAGCAAGGTAACTGTTGAGCTAAGATTTGAAGCAGGTAAGGAGATAAACTATCTGAAGGAGAGCAGTCCAGGTAAAAGACGTTAATATTTATTCCCTCATATATTACCTTTTGGTTCCTTAGACCTAAACTGACCACATGATGACCTGAAAGATTTTAAACTCATTTTTGTCTAAATATTACCTGCATCTAAATCCTTAGATTTTCCTAATAAGCCACAAGTGCTTTTTAGAAATGATAAATTAAGTGAAGTATAGAACTTGTTCATGCAAGTCAGCTTTCTCTTTTTCTAAAATTTAATTAGGAGTTTCATCTTTTATTTCATTGAGTTTTGAGAAAAAGGCTTTTTTTGTGATATGTACATATGACATATCTTATATTCTGGCAAAAAAGAGCAAGTGTATCCAACATGGGAGGTCAACTGGATTTAGCTCACTAAGGGGATAAACATTTTTCAAGTACAAAGACGGACTGATTTTTCAGATAAAGCCAGTACAAAACTAATGATAAGCAAAGTCATCAGGTTTATTAACAAAATAAAATTAGCACAAAATTCTAGATCTTTAAAAGCTTGTTAATTTCTACCTAATTGGATGAGACTAGCACAGCGCTTGGTTTTACCTTCCGGTGGCCTGTTGGATGTCGCCACAACGACAACCCCGTTTTTGAACAGATTTTCAAAAAGCTGTTTCAGAATCATGGCATCAGCAATGTCAGTGACCTGTGGACAACAACACATTTGTTTTATTTTAATTTCACTTCTGCTCTAACAAATTTACTAATGGCTAGTCTTTTTTAAAGATGGAAGTGAATTCAAAGAGAAAAATCCTAATTATCATGAAGAAAAGAACAGACAATTAAAAGCATGAAAGACTATATAACAGTCTGTTAAGCTTAACTCTTTTGTAAGCCTATCATTTTTACACAAATTATCAAATGGTTTTACGTTAACTTCTTTTATAGAACTACAGGTGGAAAGCATAAATAATTGTCCTAAATATTTAGGAAGTCTAATTAATTGGAACATGATCAACCCCCTTCTCCCGCTGCCACCCACCCCTCCTCCACAAACTCCCAAAAGGAGAGAGAAAAATAAAATACGACACAGTCTGTTTGCAATTTCTAATACCTTTCCAGCAAGGGTCCCTAGAAAGGTGACTTTAAACGTTCATGGGACTTCAGAAATAAGGACAAGTAGCCAGTGAGACATAATCAGCTGCTGTTGAAAATAGAATGATATGACATAGATACTATTGTGCAATTGTTGCACAAAACAATTCAACAGATGGCCCATCACAAAAATAAGCAATTTCATTGTTCTTTTTAAGTGCCTTCTATTACTGTCCATGAATAATCAAAAGGCACTGCAGTCACTTCCAGCACAACCAGCCTCTGCTAACCTTCAAAACACAAATATTCCTTGTAAAAAAAAACAACAATAAAAAAACTGTAAGAACAATTAATACAGTGCTGGGGGGATTGGGGGAGACAAAACCAGAAATGCTAATGCAGATAAAACTATCCTTCTGTTAGGTAACAGAGAAGTACAACTATTCATCTTTTTAAAAATTATTTATTTTTAAAATTCGCAATGAAAACATAAGGTTAATAATCTTTCAATTTTTTAAATTCACAAAGAAATATAGCAACAAGGGAAGTTGAATTCCAAAATAAATGTATAATGAAAGCTGATTTTAATCATTGCTACTACCCTTAAATATATAACAACACGAGTATTAGATACAGTGTAAAGATGTTTTGATATTTCTTTAATAAAATATTTCAAATAATCTTAATAAAACTTGTTTTACATATATTTGCTAAATATATCACAATGTTATTCTAAAGTCCTGTAAGGGAACACAGAAACTAAAGGAATTCTTACAATTTGTTCAAAGTGCTAAGCTACTAATTAAATGGTTCTAACACAATTAATAACCTGGAGCTAAATCACTTTTCTCTTTATAGCTAATATCTTACTTAAAGTTTAATGATTTTTTTTCCCACCTGAACAAAACAAAACCATGAAAGAGAGAGGTACAATTTTCTTTTTCTGCCTCAAGCTATAATTTGAAAACATATTAACTAAAAACTACTAAAGATTCCCTAAACTAAAAAGACTTCAGGAACTTCGAAACTGGAGATTTAAATAAAAAGAAAAGTGGTGCTGATATTATTTAATTTGGAGCTTAGGATCATTGTCAAATTTTGCTTCCGCAAAACCAGTCACAGAGAAGGCCCTTTTCAAATGCATAAACACCAGTGGCATTTCTGATGAGAACACAGACCGAGCTTGCAAATTTTAGTAGCAATTGCACTTTCAAATTGAATCCCAATATACTCACTTTAAAAAAAATACACCAATTAAAGGTTACTCAATTTTAGAGAATAACAATGGTTATTTGATTATGCTGTTAATGTTTTTGAAAAAATTAAAAATAGCTTGTGTCCCTTAAGGTTCAAAAAAATAAAGAAACATGTAGCTTATAACAGTGCAAAGATTTAAACTGAAGAGTGAAGAAACAAGTAGTAAGGGTTTGTGGTGGAGTTATACTTTGCTGTTTTTACATTGCAGACTGTTTCTGCCTTACCAGAGTAAATTAACTTGGAGGATCTATGACTAATTAATAAAGCAGGAGTCACTTAGTGTAGCTGGGTGCCAATGTGTACTCTTTTGATCCTAGTCCAGCACTTGTTCAGCTTTGCTGGAGAACAGTAATTTTACAGTATAAGTGAACAGAAGACAATTGGCCCCACATTCTTGGAGAGCCAGCTTTTTCAGTACCCAGCATTTCATTACCACCAGGAACAAAAGAGAAGGCTACAGATTACCAGTAAGGGTAGTCTGCTAATACAGAGTGGAGACATTTCATTAGCATTAAAGAGAAGAGATTTTTTTATGACCTAGAGTTGCTTTCCATTATGAGTCACTTAAAAAAAGGGGGGGAAAGCCTAATGGTTAATTTACATGTGTAAGTGCTTGAGTCTCCGTCATCCACTGATTGGTACAGTGCCATGCAATGAGTGACAACATAAGCATGCATTATCATTAATTAGTATTAGCACAAAAATAAGCATCTATTTTTTATTAGCAGTTTTTAATAGCTTTCCTGCTTTATAAAAATAGTTCAACTTCTTTAAATGATATTGATACCTTCCAGAGGAGAATTTTACAACTCCGCTCATTTTTTGTACCATATTAGTAAAACATCTATTCACTGTCCCTAAAACAATACATGAAGACATAATATTTTTGTACAAAAAATCAGTTTCCCTCAGTATTCTCATATCTTCAGCAGTTTAACAAGTAACAAATATTCAAAGAGGACATAATATTCTAAAAGAAAACTCAGAGGGTAAACAGTTTATTTTAACAACTAAAATACATTTTTTAAAAACCTATCTAGACATATTTCTCAGCCAAAATAAGAATAGTATATCTCCTACCACAGGTAAAACTGAAATGCCACACTTAACAAAGATGACCAAGGTAATGAAGAACACATTCTGCAAATGTGAACTAAATGCTAACAAAACATAATCTTAAAAATTCCTTAAATTTAAAGCATAAAAAGAATATATCCTTATATTTAAGCAGCAATAATTTCCATTCATCACATTAGTAAAATAAATATTACATTAATTAACATCACCTAAAGGCCAGTAATTATTAGCTAAAAATCAAGACTACTAATATGATTTAATTTGAAAAGTGAAGTGGTGATTGTAGACATATTGTCACTAAGAATAAAGCACCTAATAATTCTTTTCTAATAAATCAGCAAGTATTATAGTAGGCTTAATAGACTTAAGGATAATTTTTAGGTTTTATTATTAAAACATCTACCAAAACCCCACTCAGATCAAAAGCTATATATTTAAACACATAATATAAGACTATCTCAAGGGAAACATAACAAAGCTGTTACTCAGAAAAGCACTGACATTGGATTTAAAATTTGTCAGTTACTAACTCTGTGGTTTTGGTCAAGTTCCTTAATCTTTATGACCCTCAATTTCCTTATGAATATAATGAAAGTAGTAATAAAACCAATCCTGCAAAAAAAATTATAATGAGATTATATATTAAACTATCAAGAAATGTTAACTATGGCTATTGCCTATCTATAGTATGAATGTTTGTATAATTCCACATAATTAATGTACCATTTGGAGAATTTTAGCTATACATGGAAATATATATAATACAGCAGTTAAGAACATAGGCACATAAGGGCCGGCCAAATAGCTCAGCAGATTAAAGCACCTGCAAGCAGGCACAGGGGCCAGGGGTTCAATCCCCAGGCCTGCCATGCTGGGTCCACCCCCAGGGCACCCTAAACCAGAGATTGAGACTGGGTATGGTGGCACATGCCTGGAATCCCAGCACTTGGGAGGCTGTAAACAGGAGAATCACTGTGAGTCCGATCTAGTAGTGAGACCCTGAACATCTTCTAGACCCTTCCCTAAAATACAGAGAAAAAAAAAAAAAAAAAAAAAGAACATAGGCACATAGAAAACACTCAGTATACAGTAGCTGATATCATAGAATATACATATTAGGGGCCGGCTGAGAGGTAGACGGCTTGCCTAGCACCAGTGAGGCCCTCGATTCAATCCCCAGCACCACAAAAGAAAAGATACAAAGAATAGACATGATAACTGGATGATGGCACAGACCTGTCAACTCAGAACTCTGTGAAGCTGAGCCAAGAGGGTAACAAGTTCCAGCCCAGCCTGAGCAACTAAGCAAGACCCTTTCTCAAAATAAAAAATTAAAGAAAGCACTGGGGATGTAGCATATATGGTGAAATATAAGTTTTCCAGTAAATACATGGGCAACACCTCAAACAGTTCCTAAGAGAAATTTGGTAAGTAAGCAAACATGACAAAAACCACATGACTAAGTGAATATACATTAAAACTATGTATCATCTTCCCATATTAGACAAAAATGTTCAGATAATCCACAGTGTTGACAGGATCAAGTATGGGATGGAGTAGTAATATTCCTTGTGCTCAAGAAATGCAGATTTTGTTTGAGAAATACTATTTAATATAAAGGGAGTAGGACTTACTTGATAAAACTTCACCAGTTATCATTGGATACTAGAATTCATTCATTCTCAGGCACTATTCTAAACACTTGTGATATATCAGCTAACAAAATACACTGCACAATATTCTGTAGTAGAATATACAGTATATCACAATCAATAAACAAAAGGTAAGTAAATATATGATCAAAGGTAATATAAGTCATGGGGCATCAGGAGTGCAGAGAGCAATGAGAAATTGTGTTAAATAGGATGTTAGGGTTAATCTTGCTATGGAGGAGATAGCCATCTCCTTACACAGGCCAGGAGAAGACCTTAAGGATATATGGGGTGGTGTGATAGGACCATATGCATATGGTAAGACTCACTGCCTGGGAATCGGCACAGTGTGTGTTGGGCCAGTCAGACAGCTCAGCAGATTAAAGCACCTGCTTAGGCAGACGAAGGGATGGGAGTTTGATCTCCCAAGTGCTGTGGGGGCCCCGCCCTGGGGGCACATTGAGACTGGGCATGGTGGCATGCACCTGTAAGCCCAGCGCTTCAGAGGCTAAAAACAGGAGGATCAATATGAGTCGGATCTGTGTAGTGAGACCGTGCAGACCCTGTACCAAATACATTTTAAAAAAAAGAAAGAAAGAAACAATGCATGTAAACAACTCAAACC